TAAAAAAATTAGAACTCTGCACAGAACTGTATCTTGATTAACTTTAAAACTACTTCAGAAAGTGCAAGAGAATGAATGTGACTTAGCAGCATGACCTAGACGCTAGGTTGTACTTTTACTTTTATAGCTTTACTAAATAAGGTTTAATAACAAAATAGGGGGTAGCATAAAATGAGCTTTCCCTCTTTTCAGAGGTCCCCCCCTCCAAAAAAAAAAAAAACACACTGCAGTTTCAGCTGGCATTTGCATTCAAGATGAAGTGAGATGGAACAGGGAATGAATCATAACCAATATTCCACATCTAAACATTAGAGGCCGACCTCTGCAGCAACCATCAGGGATGGGAAAGGACATAAGAGGAAAAGGGCAAGAGGACAAGGATAACTGTAATAAAGATAGTAATCCTAAAAGCAGCTAACACTCCATGAGCTCTGACTATGTGCCAGACATTGCTAAATGCTCAGCATGTGCTAATTCACTCAATCCTCTCCCTATGAACACAGTACCAGCATTCATCCTACTTCTGCAATTTGGAAACCATGGCACTGAGGTAAAGCAACTTTCCCAAGTTAGCACAGCAGGAAAAGGCAGTAAGCAGGCCATCCAGTTTCCTACAGTGAACTGGAGTCCACCTCTACTCAAAACACATTGATTAGTCAGTGGCACTCAATAAGCAGAACAGATTTACCCCGTGCCAAAAGCTGTTGGTCAAGGAGCACAAAGAATGAGGTAAGACTGCCTAAAACTGCAAGCTACTGGGTAGAGAGCAAAAACAGATCAGCAAAGCCAATAAAAACACTGCAGATAGAGATATTTTGAGGGAAAGATGGTTTCCCTCTATATAGCTGTCACCTGAACTAAGGTTCTCCTACCAGGGGTGTCCAACCTTTTTTTTCTCTGCTACACATTTGAAGATTAAGAGCTGTCTTGGGCTACACAGTAAATACAATAACACTAAGGAAAGCTGACTAGCAAAAGAAAAAGTCCATACATAATTTTCAAGATATCTGAGATATCAGATACCATAGATAAGCAGTACAGTCCTCAAATAATTGCAATACAGCACACAGGCCACAGGTTGGACACCCCTGCACCTAAACCTTGTTACATAAGGATGGAACTACTATTTCTTATGACTGCTGACGATATAGACTTGTGATTTTTTTTTCGAGACAGAGTCTCACTTTGTCACCCTTGGTAGAGTGCCATGGCGTCAGCTCACAGCAACTTCAAACTCTTGGGCTCAAGTGATCCTCTTGCTTCAGTTTTTTTATTTTTAGTAGAGCCAGGGGTCTCACTCTTGCTCAGGATAGTCTCAAACTCCTAAACTCAAGCACTCCACCTGCCTCAGCCTCTCAGAGTGCTAGGATTACAGGTGTGAGCCACTGACTTCTGATCTTTATTATCTTTTAGAATGACAGTTCTATTATTTTTCCAACCTAAGAGGTAAATAGCTCTCTTCCCTCCCCCCCTCCCCCTCGCCCCCAAGTTTCAAAAAGCACTCCCTGGTCTAACTGTTCAGGGATATGATCCACAAGTCTGTGTTCCCCACTCACTGTTTTCTCTGGTAAAAGCTCCAATACTAAACCCAAAGCTGTAGGTGCTGTCTCTCTGCCTTTTCATGCAGCACAATATCCTTTTTGGCCCAATGATGGACCCAGCATTTCCAGAACTGAGCATCCTGATTTTGCACAAAAGTTGAGGTCATGTTTTCTACTTAGTTTCTAATCCTCTTCAACTGTTATCTTCAAGGACACCATCCACAAACCTTTCTGGCCCATTTCCTATATTGTTACTGGAGGCTTAAAGTCTTAATAGGTTGTTACTAAGATGTTGTTTAAATGTTTTAAACAAATACATTGTTCTATTTCTTCCCACAACAAATCTCACTCTCACAGCCTTGGGATATTTTGAGGTAGCCAGGGGATACAAGGGCACTCAAGCTAAACTTTACCTTGAGCATAATGTTGGATTTTAGGTTAAGGGATTTACTCCTATCCCACATATCACACATTTTATGGGGATACCATATCCTATCAGCCAGAGCATCCACACCATAAAAAGGACAATGTTATATCCAAAAAGATAGTCTCAGAAAAAAATAAATAAGAAGGATAAAACATTACAGATATACAGACTTAGAAGAAGTTGCAAACAAGTTAATCATATGTTGTAAAAAATATGCAGGGAGGAGAAAATTAAGATATATACTACTAAAAGATTTTTTAAAAAGCATCTCCTGCAGCTGTAGCTGCTTCACTTAAATATGCTCCCCACGAAAACTGAAATGATCACAAATGCTCCCCCCAACAATCCAAGCTGCAAAGGACTGAACTATTAAGAATATAATCAGCTAGGATATGAAAATCACGGTTCTCCGATGTGTACTGGAATGTAAACGTTAAAAATATATATTGTATAAGCATTACAGTACCCAGCTAATCACTTGCATAACTGACCCTGAACCACAGCACTGCTGAACAGTGGAAAGTTCTGAAGATGAACAAGATTAGAGAACACTCCTGGGCCCTCCACCGCTTAATCTTCCCTCCCCATCCTCAGCGCGCAGAACTGTACACAGAGGGCACTAGGTCAAAGGTAAGAGTTGCCTCGCGCAACAGTAGGCATAGGCCCAGGATCCCCCAAAACTCGGATTAGGAGACTTTATAAAGCGTTACAAAAGAGGTGACTATTACTATCCTTTGTAAAGCAGCAAGCAAAACAAACGGGGGAGAGCAAAGAGACTGTTAAGACGAGGAAACGACTCTGACAAAGAATGCAGAATTATGAAAATCTGATAAATAAAATAAAAACCACTCGTAGTCCACGTCTCTGGAAGCAAACTGTGGCTTGAGCCAAGAAGTACGCCTCAACGTCTTTGCCTCAACCTAGTGCACACATAATACTTTCTCTTCTTGCACGTCAGGTTCCAAAGTGCATTTACCAACACTCTCCACCAAGTCTTCATCCGGCCCTGGGGATGGCTAGAATTTGAGAACCAAGCAAATTAAGGATCTGCCCAGGCACACAGAATTGGGGTGGGTGGGGGGGAGGAGTGCAGAATGCGGCGCCTTCTCAGGCCCAGACCCGAGGCATTTCAACCGCTCGGGGAAGGCCGCGGTGAAATTCTGCCGGAGCCCCGCGGGCGGTTGGCCCCCAGCGGGGAGCTCCCGCCAGGTCACAGCCTGCCAACGCTTTCAGCCTGGAGTGGGCGGCAGAGCGAGCGGACACGCTGCCCGCCGGGCGGCTCACCTGGGCGATGCCGGCGCCCATAAGCCCGCCGCCGATGACCGTCACGTGCTTGACGATGATTTTCTTGGCCGTGGCCGAGGCGGTGGAGGAGGAGGACACGCAACGCATAAACTGCCTGGTGACGAATGCCATAGTGCAGGGAGCCGCGGCGACAAGTACACAAGGCAGGTGAGAAAGGCTCCGGCGGCACGGGCACCAGCGGCTAGGCAACCTCTGGGGGCGGACACCCAGACCGCCCCGCCGCCCGCGCCCGGGCGCCCGAGTGACGTCACCTGGAGGGGGCGGGGACTCGAGGCAAGCCCCACCCACTGGCCCAGGCCGCGGCGTTCGAACGTCTGAACGCGACTCCGGGGCCAAAGGGCAACGCGGGCCGCGGTCTTCCGCCGCGGCTGAGGTGAGCCCGGGCCTGGATCCGGCCGCTGCGGCTGGACGGCGAGGCTTGCGACCTGGTGTTGGACAGGTACAGGTCCTTCTTTTGACAAGCTGCCAGTCTTTTGTTAAATGAACTCTGTGGTGTTGACTTGGTAAATCCCAGCCTTTGTGGCGTATGCCTCCCTAGGCGCTGAATAAATACCTGTCTCTTGGCTGTGGTGGTAATGAACCCAAAATGTGCACTCTTGGTTGAAATCACCAAATAGTCAACCCTAGGAATTATTTTAATCTATTAACAGTGATCGTTTCTGATAAATGGGGAAAAACAAGACTGCAGACACCCAAAGCAACTATCCAGTGACCCATGAGTTCTGATGCAGATCTCAGGCCCAGGAGAGGGAAACGGAGAGATGACCTTTAGTTATGCGTTTCATGGTTAGACATCTATCAGTGCAGTGCACAGACGACAATTTAAGGTCAAAGGACAACCTTCGTGGAGTAACCGGTAATATTAGAAAGCGTAGGAAAGGAATGTCTTTCCAGGTAACGCAAAACTTGATACTAACTAGGCCAATCTTTTCACGCGTGTGTGCACTTTCTGGTTACAGAGATGTAGAATTTTTGTCAATTTATTTACCTTATTTTTAAATGTTGTTAAAAGAAAAACTTTAGATAAATTTAGGACAGTTTGAAGAAATGATTTGTTGAATCAGGCGGCACCCTGAACCTTTAGAGCTTCACTCAGCAACAGTGGGCAGGCAGTATTTATAAGCAGAAAAAGAAAACGATGTACAGTAGTACCCTAATTGGGTTAAGGTTCACATTTGCCGCATTTGGACATAATGAACAGTTTGCAGCCTGTGATTGGCTAAAAGCTTATCTGTTAGGATTGGCCAAAACTCAGTTACTTGTTATAAGAACATACTGTCAAGTAAAGGTGCAGTTTACATAGTAAGTAAGGGTTACAG